TATGACAGTCATTTGTGACGGGCTCCAACTAGAGGCCCGATTGAGATAAGTTTAATGCCCGTCACAGATGACACTCTTCTTTGACGGGCTTTTATTAAGGCCCGATAGAGATTACTTGTATGCTTGTCACGGTTGATTGTTTTAGGGCCGTTACAGATATTTGTTGCACGTATAAATAACCCCCACCACCTAGTGTAACTGTATCCCACTGTTCACTATTTTGGTGGGAGGCTGTAGGGGGCGATTTTTTGTCTTTTTTCCAAGGAAAACAGAAAATTCCCAAAAGTGATCAAAATGGAGCAATCAAGTGAGTGATACTAATCATTAATTTAGCAATTTCATCACGTCTTAGTTTAGCAATACTGATCTTATAAGATGTGCCTCTAATTTATTTTTTTTATTTTGTAGCAATGGATCGAAGTTGGATGTATGCGACAACTGTGAAACGCCATTTTCCGGAGTACAGAAATGGCGTAATAAATTTTATGAACGCCGTGGAGGAGGATAGGAACAGAAGAAACAACGATTACATGTGTTGTCCATGTGCAGATTGCAAGAATAAGAATATGTTTGATAGCGGAGGGGTTGTACATGATCATCTGATACAACGAGGATTCATGAAGCGCTATACATGTTGGGTGAAGCATGGAGAGCAAGAATCAGGAAGTGGTGCAACAGCAGACAGAAGTGGTGCGCATAATCAGGAAGATAAAGATGAGCATGACATGTGTATACCTTCTCCATTGGGTGGTGAAATGGTTGATGTGGATCACGATCTGCTGCTAGACATATTACGTGACGTTGAGGACCCAGCCCAGAATGAGAGAGGTTCCATGAAGTTCAGCAGGTTGGTCAGTGATTCCGAGATGCCTCTGTACGCCAGATGCAAAGCAAAACACACAAAGTTATCAATTACCTTGGACCTAATGAAGCTGAAGGCAAGTAGTGGATGGACGGACAAGAGTTTCACAGATCTTTTAGGAATTTTGAAGGCTATGCTTCCTTCTGAGAACACATCGCCCGAGACGACATACGAAGCAATATGCGGACCTAGATGCTTGTCCTGTCTGCAAGGCTTCTCGATACAAGCGAAAGAAAAGTGCTGACGAAGGAAAGAAGTCAAAGATGGGTGGTCCGGCAAAGGTTGTGTGGTATCTACCTATCATTGATCATTTCAAGAGAATCTTTGCCAACCCCAATGAAGCGAAGTTAGTACGTTGGCACGCCACGGAGAGAAGGAATGATGGCATGCTTAGACACCTAGCGGATTCGATTGAATAGAGGAATATCGATCGAAAATACAAAGAATTTGCTGCTGACCCTAGAAACATGACGATATGTCTGTGTACGGATGGCATGAATCCTTTCGGTGACATGAGTAGTACTCACAGCACTTGGCCAGTTCTTATTGCGAACTATAACCTCCCACCATGCTTGTGCTTTAAACGTAAATATATTATGTTGTGCTTGTTAATCCAAGGTCCGAGGCAACCCGGCAATGATATCGATGTATTCCTGGAGCCTGTTATCGATGATCTTGAGATTCTTTGGAAAGAAGGTGTGGAAACTTAGGATGCATATGGTCAGGAGAACTTCAAGCTAAGAGTTCTATTGTTCTGTACCATTAATGACTACCCTGCACTCGGTAAGGAAAGAAGGCATGCTCCGATTGCAAGGAACATACACGAAACCGGTGGCTGAAGAAATCATGAAAGATGGTATACATGGGTCATCGGAGGTGGCTCCCGCTACGTCACGCATTTAGAACAAAGAAGAAAATTTTTAACAGTAAGAAAGAACTTCAGCCTGCTCCCAAGGATTTGTCCGGAGATGAGGTCCACAATATGGTGAAGGACATAAGTAATGAGTTAAGCAAGAAAAGAAAACGTAGCAAGACAAAGGAGAAGGGTATGTGGAAGAAAAAATCCATATTTTGGCGACTACCTTACTAGAATGATTTTGATGTCCGTCATTGCATTGATTTCATGCATGTAGAAAACAATGTGTGTGAGAGTTTGGTTGGCCTGATGTTGAATATTCCTGGAAAGACAAAGGACGGGTTGAACGCGCGCCTTGATCTACATGACATGAATATTCGCAGTGAACTCCAACCCATACGAGATGTAGAGACAGGGAGAGTGTACCTCCCTCCAGCCTACCACACATTGTCGAAGGATGAGAAAATCGCAATGTTTTCATGCTTGAAAGATATTAAAGTTCCATCGGGCTATTCAGCGAGGATAAGTAAGTATGTTAAATTGAACGATCTAAAACTGGTTGGGATGAAGTCTCACGATTGCCACGTGCTAATCACACAAATCTTGCCAGTTGCTATCAGAGGCATTCTACCACCCAAAGTGCGTCACACGATCCAACGTCTGTGCGCCTTCTTCAATGCAATCGGACAAAAGGTTATAGATCCAGAAGATCTAGATGGGTTGCTGACCGATATTGTGAATACCCTCTGTCACCTGGAGATGTTTTTCCCACTGTCTTTCTTTGATATCATGGTTCATCTCCCTGTTCATTTGGTGAAGCAAACAAAACTATGTGGAACGGCTTTTCTAAGAGAAATGTGGCCGTTCGAAAGGTACATGGGAGTTCTGAAATCCTACGTTTGTAACAGAGCTAAACCCGAGGGGATCATCATTGAAGGTTACACGACCGAGGAGGCTATCGAGTTCTGCGTCAATTACATGTCCGATGTCGATCCTATCGGAGTTCCAGCGTCTCGTCACGAAGGAAGGTTGTCAGGTGTTGGCACAATCGGAAGAAAAAGAATTAGGCCCGATCAAGCTTCCTACGCGCAGGCTCATTACGTTGTGCTCCAACATATGGCAGAAGTTGACCCATACTTTGAGGAGCAACACTTAGCGAAGATCCGAGATGAGAACTTGGGGCGATCTGATACATGGATTAACAGAGAACATAATTCTCGGTTCAACGAATGGTTCAAGAATCATGTGATAATGTCCACGGATGTCCCAAATGAGACAGTACAGTTGTTGGGAATGAGACCGTCTTGGACCGTAGACACATGGCAAGGATACGATATCAATGGATACACATCTTACACCATCAAACAAGATGACAAAAGCACAGTGCAAAACAGCGGAGTCCGTATAGATGCATTCCAGGATCAAGTTGGGTCAAACACATACTACAGCCACATTGAGGAGATCTGGGAGCTAAACTACGTCAAGTTCAAGGTTGCTTTGTTCTGCTGCCGTTGGGTGAATCTACGCACTGGTGTCAAAGCCGACAAGGAATGTTTCACTTTAGTAGATCTATCAAGGGTGGGATACGCCAATGAACCATTCGTACTTGCGAAACAGGTCGAGCAGGTATTCTACATAAAAGACCCTTCAAACAAGAAGATGCACATCATGAGGGATGGCAAACGCCGAATTGTCGGAGTTGACAACATCATCGATGAAGAAGAATACAACCAGAATCTTCATGTAAGACCTCACATCGACCTTGACGATGATCCCCAAGAGCATGTGGCATATGCTCGTTCAGATCATACGGAAGTCATAACCTTGTGACCGATGCCTTTGTACTTATCTATTGTAATGAATGATGTATTTTGTTTTATTACAAAGACTTGATATGCGTAGTCATTCATATGGCTAATTTAGTTGATTATTTTGACTAATATGATGAATTATTATACTGCAGTCAATTATATTTTTGCTACAGGTGAAGTAAAAAAATATAAACATCTCTCATGAAAAATGGACAAAAAAGTCAAGCGGGACGGGTTTTGGTTAAGGCCCGACAGAGATAAAGTCATCTCAGACTTGAGAGAAATGTGATTTTTGTGAATAATATTACTATCACTTTTTTGGATGAAGAAGTGACCAAAATAAAAGTTGTAGATCTTGATAAGCTCTACAACTTTGTTGTTTATGACTTCTCCATTTGAAATCATTTAGTATTTACAAATGTTTAAATTTTTCATACAGAAAAGTGACCAAAACAAAAGTTGTAGATCTTGATGAGTTGTACAACTTTGTTGTTGATGACTTTTTCATTTGAAATCATTTAGTATTTACAAATGCTGTTTAAATTTGTCATACTTACAAATTCAACTTTAAACTGTTGGGAAAAAAGTTATATAGAAAAATGACCAAAATAAAAGTTGTAGATCTTGATAAGCTCTACAACTTTGTTGTTGATCATATTTCCATTTGAAATCATTTACCATCCGAAAAAATATTATGACTAATAAAATGAATTATTATACAGCAGCTATATATTTTGCACTCAAAAATATAAAGACTTCATGCGAAAAATGGTCATCGATGACGGGCCTTAGTTTAAGCCCGATAGAGATTAATCTATCTCAATCGGGCATTACCGTAGGGCCCGTCACAGATGAGTCATCCGTGACGGGCCTGAATGTCATCTCAATCGGGTATGAGTATGGACCCCGTCACCGATGACTCATCTGAGACAGGCCCTACGGTAATGCCAGTTTGAGATGACTCATCACTCTACTATAACTAGGGTTTCTTAGATCGGATCGATAATTTTTCTAACTCCCGCTATAGTTTCCCGCCTCCTCAGAACACTAGTGCCGTCGTCGTCCTCCCTCGCCGAGCCCGCTGTCGCCGCCACCGAGCCTCCACACCGACCGGCGTCGGCCTTCCTCATCGTCGCCGCCCGCCTCTCCTCCTCCGCCCTCCATTCGGACCGCCGCCGCCGACCCCAACCGTCGTTACCAACGCACGTTGCCGACCCCCACCGAGCCCGGTGACGTCCTTCCTTGTCGTTGTTGCCTCCTCCTCTCCGACGCCCGACGCCGCCCTCCACCGACCCCGGCGACGCCCTCCACCGACCCCGGCACCGCCGCCACTGAGCTCGGCGCCGCCTCCACCGACCGGCGACACCCTCCACCGAGCCCTGCGCCACCACCACCGAGCCCCACCGGCCGTCCTCAGGTGAGTCATCCATCGCACCACCCTCTGCTACCTGTGGTGAACGATGAACTGTTGATGAATAGATGAATGATGAACTGTGAGTAATGACATGCGGATGTTGCGATGAAATGTGGTGCATTAATGAATTTTGTGATAGATGATTGTAGTGATTGATGAAATGTGGTTCATTTTAGTTTACTAGTTATCGTGCACGTGCAAGGCACGTTTTGACAATATATATTAGCAAACGAAGAAGAATCTATATAATCGTTTTTATGCAATACACTCCATATAAATTCTTCTAGTGTATTACTTTTATATTACATATTACAGCCTGAATTTTAAATGTAAAAGCCTCATAAATACTAAAAAGATTTTATTCCATGTTATAATCCATTTCAATATATTCATAATCATAAGAAATAGTAATACATCATAGTAATCATCAGAAATGGAAATAAAAAAACAGATGTATACATGAAGAAAGTCAATGTCATGTTGCCTGGTTATATATTTCGCCGAACAGAACATAGGTGTTCAGCAGAATGAGGCGTTTGTCGTTGGCATTTTATGAATTTTCTCTTATAAGAAACATATTATAAACAATGGGCTGCTCAAGTGGTCGGTCATGATTCCAGTTGATTCCAGAGAAAAGAGCTATAGCCTATAGGTGTCACCAAGCAAGAACATCATGCATCAGTATCCATCTCAGAGAAAAAAGAAAACACAAACATACTACCAATTATCAAATGATCAAGTTATTGCACCGTGATCCATCTATATGATCATAATTCCTATACATTTGTTATTTTTGATCTTTTCTCTTCCAGAAGTTGAGTATTCTCCAAAGATTGATGAAAAGTTGCATAATAGTAAAATAAATATTTAAAATAAGAACAACATACCTTTACAATGTAATAATTGGAAAAGAAATAGGAGCAGAACATATCATCCTTGTTAGAACCACTCAAAGATGGATCTTTATTAATATGCAAATTTCATGACTGTGAGATCATTCCTACCTACATGTCGGAAAATTTGCTATCCAAAGCTCAAATGTCCTAAAAATCCTACACACATTAAGATTTCCTTAAGCATGATATGTAGTCTGTATAGTATATTTATTATATCAGATCTTGTATATACTTTCTTAATATGGTACAGGAATTTCAGTTCAAGCAATTCACTTATACATGTTTTCAGCAACATGTATGTAAAGTCTGTACAGCAACCAGTGAAACACAAAGAAATACTTGCATAGGAGTTGGATCTGATGCTAAACTCAAAGATTGAAACAGATTATCAAATTGAATACCAGAACCTCATTCTGAAATTTCAGTAAAGTTTACACCCCACAACAAAGGGATCTAGGGAAATAGTGAAGAAATTGGCTGTACCTTCAAGGAAGGAGGTGATCACAATGCGGAGAAGCTCTTTGCAATGATCTGGGCATGGGAGATCGGCTGTGCCAGTGGTTGAGACGTTGTCGAGGCAGCACCCTTGATGCTTCGAGGCCACAAGCTAGGGAACGGAGGAACAAATACTGCAATGATAGGCACAAGCAAAACTCACATGCACTGCAATATTTGTGTGAATATATAACCTAGTGCCTCACTTTGCAGGGACATCTCTACCTATCATACAAACTCATTTCAGTTTTCAGGCAAGCAGACTCAGAAAATGCAAATGTTTCTATATAGGTTTCACAAGGGTAAACAAATTCAGAAGATTTGAAATGACAACGAAAACTGAGTTAACTCTCTAGAAATTTATGGATTTTAGTATAGTCGTAAGATCCAAAATATCTGGCTTCACCCAAGTTGACATGGAGACAGACCAAAGGAAGGGGAAAACTCACCATGTAATGGTCACCGTCTAAGTGTCTCATTGCATGTTTGCCTCAATGTTAGGATTCACCATATCATGGCCTTGTTTGAGGCACCCAGGCCTCCTTCATGCCAGCCTCCTCCTGTGCACTTGATCCCAACCAACGACGCCCTAGAGCCGGCCCTCTCCTTCTCTGCACCCAGGCCCCAGGTCCAACCTGCTATTTGAGCGGGTGCATGACATTGGTGGCTTTTGTGTCAATATCACAAACGACTATTCTTGTGCCAAAATAGAAGTAAAAAATATGGAAGCTGCAGCAAGTGCTGAGCTGGATCTTTCATTTGGCACATATATTCATTCACAATAATACTATTATATGCATGTCTGAACAAAAGAAGGTGACAAATCAGTGTTGTTCAGTAAAACCTGAATATCTTTGTGGGACTGTTGCGGGAGCTGCGCTGTGAAGAAATATATTTGCTTGAGCACTGCATTTTTTTTAGCAAACCCAAATAGATTCCCTGAACCCAAATAGTCATGAGAAAATCAAAGAGCTAGTCCGTAACATGATCCTGCAAAAAAAATCACATATTATGCCGTGAAACGCTGAATTGATGATCCTGCAACAATAGATCATTGTCACGAAAATAGATAATTGTAGTCACCTTAGGAATGTTGTACTCAGCCCAGAGCAGTAATGTAGCATATCCCATAAACATGCTTGATATCCTTGCATTTAGTAGAGACTGATTGAAGTGTCTATTAAATATAACTACTGATTGGAACACTGATTTGAGATATTTGGCTACTCAATGAAGAGTGTTAATATGCGATCTGACAGAATCCTCAGTTAATCCATAGCACATTCAGTACAAGAGACAATCCGAATGATTCATTCCCTCAAATTTAAACTAATAAATCACCAGTACAAACATCAGTTTGTGCTAGAGAATTTAGATGCCGTTTGCCGGGAGATAATAAAGACAAATAGCATGATTGTTGATCTGATTTTTCACTTGAAGCCTGAAAGATAAGAGAAATCATACAGACACTTGGCAAAAAAAAAAAAGTGAATCCGACACCCATTGTAATTATCTTAATCCACAGGATAGGAGATAGTGGTAAGAGCTCTGGACAAAAAATAATTGTACACAAAAAGGAAAGATGGGTAGAGGAGAACAAATAATGAACCTGAAGCGACGGGCTGCGAGGAGACAACTCCAGCCTGGGGACTGGGGAATGGACCACCCTGGTTCCGTTTCCGGCCGACATGAGGCACAAATGAGGCAGGGGTAGGCGGCACCGGCGGCGAGGTGGAGAGGAGACAGGGGGGATTGCGGCGGGCTGTGAGGAAGGAGCTCCAGCCGGGGGAGTGGGCGACCCTGGCTCCGTTTCCGGCTGACTTGAGGCGCGAATGAGGAAGGGGTAGGCGGCGCCGGCGGCAAGGTGGAGAGTAGACAGTGGGATTGCATGGTGGAGACGACGGCCTTGGGGACGGAGGAGATTGCGGCGGCGATTGGTGAGGGGCGAGGGTGCGAAGGGGATTGATCTGCGGCAGTGAGTAAGGAGGGGATTGATCTGCCGCGGAAGAAAGAAACCGATGGGAGCGGGTGGATGCGATGGGCGAGCAGCAATGATTTCACCGAGAGAAGCAGGATCCGGCGGAGCTCCGGCGAGGATGCGGCAAGTGGAGTGCACGGCGGTATCGGTGGCGGCGGAAGGGGCCGAGGTCGGCTCCGGCGGCGGCTCCGAGTGAGAGAAGCAGGATCCGGCGGAGCTCCGGGGAGGATGCGGCGGAGCGGCGGCAGCGGGGAGGAGGAGGATCGAGCGAGGAGGACGGCCGCGGCGGTGGGGAAGAAGCAGGACCCGGCGGCAGCTTTGGTGTGGACGCGGAGGAGCGGCGGCAGCTGGGAGGAGCTCCTGCGAGGACGCGGGGAGGAGGAGCGAGGAGGAGGAGAAGCGCGGTCTTCGCGGCCTGTTAACGACCAAATTTCAAATTTGGTAATATCAGTATCGGTGATGAAGATTAGATCGAAGCGGAATCAAAAAGGAAGATTGTTTCAGAAACAGAGTAAGAATCGGCTAGAGTCCAAATCGGCTACGATCAGGATCGGCTGAGTCCGAGTCAGACTAGGGTAAGCCGATACAGCCGATTCCGACAATACGACTCGGTATACATCATCGGGTTGAGTTGATATGCTTCAAGATGATTGCCATGCATGGATAGAGTCTTGAGAAGGCAATTGTATCTATTAATTAGGATATTTTATGTAACTAGCAAAAGTGCCCGTGCGTTGCACACGGTGATTACGGAGTATGTATATTGACCAAAATTGTTGTTTGGTTTAGCAAAAGTACTCGTGCATTGCACCGGGAAGCGCACAGATCAGAAAAAATATACAATTAATTAAAATACAAATTCGCTGAAATATTTGGTATTTTTAAGTATGTATGTGTATAATTAAATAAATTTACAAGTAAAGCAAGTGTGAGAAATAAAATGACATTGTTAAATTTAATTTTATTAAATTCTTCATGATTAGTTACGCTCTTTGGAATTTTATTGAAATTTTCAGCGCTTAATTGCTAATTTTAATAATACAAACATCATTTAATAATTATTTAATTGGAAAAAGAAAGAAAATTCTTCCTTTTAGATTTGCTTAGAAATAAACACATTCAATAACTATAATTGTAAATGCTTCTGAAAAAATGAAGCACTAAAAATGAACTTCTCTTTTTTTGGCCCGAGAGACCTAATATAGACTTATTTCCGGCCCGAGGGACCTAAAATAGACTTATTTCCGTCCCTTGCCGGTCGGCCCACGGCTTTATCAAAACCCTAACCCTCCCCACCCCTCCCGCCCCCGCCCCCCAGCCGCTCGGCCACCTCTCCCACTCCCGACACCACCTCTCCCCCTCCCCCTCCCCCCACTGGTGCCGCTTCCCCTCCCCTCCCTCCGGCGGCGCCGCTCCCTCTCCCCATCTCCCGCCTCTCCCCCTCCCCCCAGCCGGCCGCCTCTCCCACCACCGGCGCCGCTTCCCTTCCCTTCTCCCTCCCTTCTCGGCGACACGGCGCGGCGACGACGGGCGGCGGCGGCGGCGGCTCTCCTTCCCGTCTCGCCAGCACGGCGCAGCGACGGCGGGGTGCGGTGGAGACGGCGGCGACGGCCGTCCCTCCCCCTCTCCCTCTCCTTCTCCCTCTCCTCGTGCGACGACGGCGTCGGCTTCGTCCGAGGGTGGATCCGTCGGCGATGGCGGCCACCGCAGGCGGTTCCGGCAGCGGCGCTCCCTCCGCCGCCTCTCTTCTCCTCCGGCGGCGGTGGTTTGTTTTTCTGCAATTTTTTCTATCGCTATTGCTAATCGAATAGGATTGTGTATGGACGAAAAACGGACGAAAATTAGATGTGACGACCGGAAAAATACGAATATTTATATTAGTTATAGATTTCCTTATAGATATATTTGGGCAAAAGTCTGCCGCAAAGACTTATGGTATCTTAGAGTTTGTTAGAGATAAGAGTCGTGTCTTATATGGACATATTTTGTAATTCTCGGGTATAAATAGACCCAGAACCCCATGTAATCAAACTAACACATGTTCAATACAATCTCGGCGCATCGCCACCCTTTTTGCTTTCGTTTTATTTCGACGAGTTCTTGCTTTCGGGTTGAGCTGCATCGGTTTCGATCTTCAACAAGAGGTAAAACTTGTTATGGCGGCTTGCGTTCTCGGGATTAGTGCTTCCATCTTTATGATACTCTAATCTTGTTTATGTAATTCGTCGAGTTATCATATATCTTATATAATCTCTAGCAATATCGACATTTAACCTATAATCGGCTAACATCTGTCTGTAGAAGGCAGTCGATTAGGTTATATAGCGACGTTGGCTTAGATTATATATGATATCCACCACTCTATGAAACTTCCAATAGCTTGATTGTCTAGATATTGTCCTTCTTTTCATACTTATACTTGAGTTTGATCTTATGAGTCGTGATTAGAATCTCAATCTCTAGCCTGCTTCTTGGTTGTTGATTAGGGTAGTATCGGGGTTTCAGCCGATCTTACCTGATTTAACCATATTTATCTCATATGCTTCGTTGACATGTTAAATCTGCCCTTTATATTAAGATCTTGTGGCATTTAAATATATTAGGCTCTTTGTTTGGTATATTTTACTTGCTTTAATATCTTAACATAGAGTAGTATCGGAGTATTAGCTGATACATGCTAGATCTATCTGATCGGCTATGCTATGAACATATATAGTCTCGTTGTTAGTATATATTTCGATCTAAGTGATTTATACTGTCTCGGCATGGTGACCGATCTATCCCAATCACTTGATTTAAGTATATATCGACATAAGGATTATATATCGTTAATACCTACAGCCGATCGAGTAGATTTAGTTATTTCTTACTTATTAATGACTGTTGATCGATGCATTTATGACATCGGCTCAAAGATAAATGATATGTCATCAGCACCTAGCCGATCGGCTATCATTTATAGATTTAACCGCGGTTTCTTTGTCTTTGTTCTTGTTGATTGCAGGATCAAATCAACTGGCACGCTAGCATACCCGAAGGCGAGTTTTGGACATGCACTGGAGTTAAGCAGATCTCCCAGGCCTCGTGTTTTCACATCAACACGGCCGCGGGTGGATGAGGAGCAAAGTCTTCACGCGTGGAATCCTCGGCTGTGAAATCGTGCGGTGGAGAAAACTTGCGCGCGGATGGACGGCTCAGATCAATCCGAATGATTTGGCCTGTAGCATTGGAGGGGGGCAACTCCTCCTTTTTATATTAGTATAGATTTATATGCAATGTGATTGATGACTGGAGTGATTGATGAAATGTGGTTTATTTATGTTGGGATGAAATGTGGTGCATTAATGATTGATGAAATTACTGTGAGATGTGCAATTTAATTTATTTATATGTGGTGCATTAAAGAATTTGCTGAATAGATGAAATGTGGTTCATTTTATTATAGAGAGATGTGCAATTTAGTTTATTTATATGTGGTGCATTAATGAATTTAGTGAATAGATGAAATGTGGTTCATTTTATTGCTGTGAGATGTGCAATTTAGTTTATTTATATGTTTAATTTATTTATAAGTGGCATTCAATTCATTCTAATAGATTTAATTTATTTACTGAATTGTGTATTTTCGTTATTTAAAAAAAAAAAGTAGACGATGTCTTAGCAAGGTGAAACAATGTCGACGACAACTAGTGGGTCCTCAAGGGCACGTACTCCTAGGACAGGGAACAAAATCCCTAAGGAACGGTTATGTATAACAGTGGTGAACCAAGTAGGGTTGCCGACAGGTCCCAGGAAAATATTGAGCCGATTTAGGTCTATCTGCGGGGTCATAGGGAGGCAGAAATTCAGTATTCTATAGGATGACATCAAGCAAGTGCCGGCCGTAGAGAAGGACAGTGCTTGGCTAGCGTTCAAGGAGAGCTTTGATTATCCTGCAGAGTATGAGTACCTTATTAGGCAGGCTGCTTTTAAGGTCATGGGCAATGCTTGGAAGAACTTCAAGAGTAAGCTAGTCGGCGAGTTCGTCTTCAACCCGGCGAATCCAAATCCAACAGAGAAATTTCCTTGGATCACGGAACAGGTTTGGGAGGAATTCCGCGCGAAGAAGTCGACCACCGAGTCCAGAGCTAGAAGTGAGGCATATCGCTTGCTCCAGACCTTGAACCAGCATCCGCACCGGCTTGGCACCGCCGGATATGCCGGTAAGGAAGAGAAATGGCAGCAGGAGGATGAAGAAGCGGAGGAATCGAACACGCCGTGGGTGTTTGCCAATATCCCACACCCTCGGACAAGGAACTGGGCCAGGGCCAGGTACTAGAAGAATGCTGATGGCACAATTTTCATGCCAAATCCAGAAGATCAACGAATGTACGAAGACATAGTAAGTGTCTAGTCAAAATAGATGTTCGCTTTGTTTCCCATCGTGCAGTTTATTTAACCCCAATAAATTGTAATGCAGAAGGAGTTGGTTGCCGAGCAACAGGCCTCGCAAGAGGCCTGCTCTCAAAGACGTGAGGACGACCTCCTCACGAAAGCATTGGGCAACATGGAACACCTGGACGGACACAGGGCATTGGGTCCTCCGTTCCCTGGAAGTTTGGATTTCCAGACTACGCGTGGCAGTACAAGAAGCGGATCCAACAAGGCGTCGATCAAAGCGGAGCTGGCATCTGAATTCGACGAAAAGCTCGAGTCCATGAGGGCCAAGGTTAAGCAAGAGATCCGGGAAGAGCAACATAACCCGTAGGCCGTCGCTGCCGCTGCACATGAAGAGTTAGGAATTCCCACCCAAAAGCGTAGCAGTTGCGCATCAACTGAGGTGGCGGAAAATCCAACATCGGTCGACAGCGCCGTCGACCACATATCCGTAAAAGTTTCGTCCACAATGCACGAATCCATATGTTATATAATATTCTTAAAAAAATAATGAATCTATCGCAGGAACCAACGAGCTGCACCCTCACAGTTAGGGTGATGCCGACCTTCACGGTTCCAGTAGCCGAGGGACTTATGTACAAGCCGACCCCAGAGACAAGAGTGCATGGAGCACAACTTAGGGCCAACTGTGCAAAAGTTCAAGTCGACTCGGTGAAGCCCGAATACGAGCTGTTCCCACTGAAGTATCCACCGAACGACGAGGTCCTATCACTAGGAAATGCCCATGGTACCTTCACCCAATGGCTCAAGGACCTCATTGAGATAAGGGTTACAGCGAGGCCAACCACTGCACTAGGCGGTAGTCCGCCAAAGAGACCCGCCTCTGCTCCTTCAGCACCTCCTGCTCAAGATCGTCATGCACAATCTTACGATGTGCAGTTGCAGTACGACACGAATTTTAGGGAGGACCATACGGAGGCCGACAGCAAGGCGATTCATGAACCCCCACTGATGAAGAAGAGCAGGAAGGCACACTC